CCTCCCGCGCGGCCCGGCTGTGCCCTAAGCTGAGGGGCGGCGAGGCCTCTAGGCCGGAGGCGGGGCGCGGCGGCCGGATGCCCCGGGTGAGCCGGAGGGTGGAGGCGGGCGCCCTCGCCCCCCTCAGAGAAATGCATTTTGAGAGGCCCCCCCAAGTGTAAGGCTTTCTTCTGCGCCAGGCCTCTTGCTTTGGTGAGCCACAGGTGTGAAGGCTCTAGAGCCGGGCGATGAATGGAAGGGTTTGCAGCACCCAGTTTGGAAAGGCAGTGCTTACTGGGGAGAGGAAGCCCAAAGCCACCGAAAGGAGCTTAGCTGTGGGGGCGGATTTGAGGAGCGATCTCGGTGCTCTGCTTCTCCCCTTCCCCTCCCCCTCTTTTCCCCTCCCCCTTCACTGATTTTTTAGTCCTTGGGAGCTTGCAAACCTTAACAAAACAAAGAGCTACCTTCTTTGGGAAAGATTAAATCATGGAAGTGCAAATAATACCGGCATTCTTCAATATCCCCTTCCCTCAGAGGGGGTGGTACCCAAAAGAGGTTGAGAGCAAGGCCGTTTATTGTACTTTGCTGGAATATAAGGCTGTCCTGCACTGCATAATCCTTTTTGGAGTCAGGAGGAGTATAGGATTAGTGAGGGAAATAAAGGCTGCATCCCTCAGAGCATTCACACCGACTCACATTATTTTCCTGCTTGTAGCTCATATTTATGAAGTGCTCACTCTGCTTCTGTCAAAGGCTGTCTCAGTTAATCCACTCGACATCCCTGCAAGGGGGTCCACAACCCCTCTCACGGAGAAAATAGAAGTCTGGAGAGATTCATTCATTCAACCAGTGTTTATTGCTACTGGCCACTGACTGCCAGGCATTGTCTTAGGCTAGGAATGGTGACAGTGGTAAACCGGATGAAGTCGTGGCCTTGTCAATCATGTGTATCCTAATGGCAGACAGGTAAATGAAGAGTTTGGTATATCAGGTTAGTGTTTGAGAGAACACTTAGTGAGATAAGGAGGAAGGGTTCATTAGGAAAGACTTCTTACTGTGCATTTTGAGCACAGATCTGAAGGGAGTGAGGTTAGCTGGTTAGCTGTGGAGGTAGCTAGAGGAAAAACAGTACAGATAGAGTAGTGAGTGCAAAAGTCCTAAGGCACAAGCATCTGGGGCAATTTGGGGTATGAAAGAAAGAGAGCAAGTCTACAGTTCTTGACCTGAACAAGTGGAAGGAAAATCTTGCTGTTTGAGATTTAGAAGTCTAGGGCCAGGGATATAGCTCAGAGGCACAAGCTCCTGCCTGGCAAGCTCAAGGCCCTGAGTTTGATTCCCAGTACCCAAAAAAAAAAAATCCTCTTCAGACAGATTTAGAAGTCTAAGGTGTAGGCTTATTTATGGCAGGTTGGGAGTTAAGGTTTCAATAAGTTGGATATTGGTTAAAGTGGAGATGCGTATTAATAGGTTCAAGTAGAAAGACCAGCCATGAAGTTGGGTGCATTAGTCTAGATTTTATAAGTATACTACTGCAGTGTGAATATAGGGGTTGTCAGCAGGTTGACAATGAGGTAAAATTCAGCAGAGGCAGGGAGCTGACAGAAGGGGTCCAAGGACTGAGTCCTAAATACTCTAGTGTTTGCAGGTTGGTGATTGAGTCAGTCCCCCTTTACACAATATCCAGTACCACTACCCACCAGGTACTATCCTTGATGCTAGAGATTTGAGCGTAGGGCATCAAATGTCTTGTGCTGTTGTGCTAGGAGTATAACTCAATGGTAGAGCAGTTGTCCACCCTGCACAAAGCTCTCAGTTTGATCCCTAGCACTGCAAAAAAAGATTACATGCTGTTGTCAGAATTTGCAAGGGAATAGATTTAATGCAGGACACATAATTTATAGGATTATTTATATAATATTCACCAAAAAAATCAAGTGCAAAAGAGTGCAGAAGATGTGTCCGCACTCTAGAGACCCAAAGAATTCAGCTGAGGGCCTCGATCCCATGGCAATGTTCTCCATGAGTCTAGCTGGAGGCCTAGAGCCCACAACAATGTCTTATGTCTATATCGAGGATCTGACTGAGAAGGCACAGAGGCCAGTGGTGAAAGCTAGAAAGTCTGCCAGTGGGCTGAAGGATCTGTGACACCAGGCTGAGAGATCTGCACTGGAGCCAGGAAGTGACACTCAAGGTAAGAACCAGGGCTCCCCTGAGGAGAACCGTAGCCATCCTCTGCACCATCAAGGACCCGAGCTTCTCCAATGATGAAGACAGCTGAGTTCATATCAGGAAAACAGCGTGACAGGCTTCTCCAAGAGGACAACACACCATCTTCCTCATCAGTTCAACTGGGTGTCACAAGTTGATCATTAGTTAATGTACCACACATGGTATCATGAAACATGCAATGTGAAAAGGGCACAGTGCCCAAGAAAAACACAAAGGTTGTACTGTGGAGGAAACCGTGAAGGTGGGAATGAGGTGCTCAGGCCTGGGAGGTCGCAGCCTCCTTCAGGGTGGCAAGAAGATGGTTCTTCAACAGTGACCTGGAGGAATCAAGGGAGCCATGCAAATATCTGGCTCCCTGCATGGTGAGGAAGGCAGGAATCAACATATAACTGAGAAAGAGCCTCAGAGAAATGAAAGAAGCAAGGAAAGGCTGGGTTGTAGCTCACTGGTAGAGCACTGGCCTAGAGTATGTGAAGCCATGGGTCCCAGCCCCAGCTCTGCAAAGGAAAAAAAAAGAACCAAAGAAAGGTAGGTGCTTTGGATGCCAAATGATAAATCAGGACAGAGAAAGTGATGACAAGTGAAATTGAATTGCCCACAGGGTTTAACATTGGTGACCTCTAGGAGAGTGGAGGGGTGAGGAAGAAAGCCCTTTGGGTCAGAAAGCTCAGGGTCCAAGGACACATGGGAGACAGGTACAACCCTGCTGGAATATATTACCTGGGTCCAAGCTGAGGTTCAGATCCATTCCACATGCCACCTCTTCTACACAGCTCATCCCCTTTGTTAGAGCTCCTGTGTTTTTTAGTTTGTCCCACCCTCTGGTGGTGGAAGAGGTACTGCCATGAGGAATCATAGGCACTTTGCAGAAGCCCTGAGCTTCCAGGCTAACACAGGTATGGCCTTTGCCAAGCTGTAAGGAATTCCTGCCCTGTTTGAGCTTATAACCTGCATACACTGAGAGGAATGAGATGCAACCACATTGTAAGACCATCACTGCAAATGCTCTGGGAACATCCTGGAAAGAACTGCAATAGCTGTATTTCCAGGCCCTGTGGAGAAAATCAGATGATGAAGTTTGGCCAGGGTGCACACCTCTATCTCAGCACCCAGGAACCTGAGGCAGGAGGATCAGCTTGAGTTTGTGGCCAGAATGGACTTGGTAACCAGTCCAAGGCCAGCGTGGAGTACGTAGCAAGACCCTCAGGGAAGAAAAGGTATGTCCTAGAAGTCAGATACAGGGAGTAGGGGAGGCTGTTTACAGAAGCTTCATGGAGATGACCACCTGTTAGGGAGGTCTGGGCAGCTTGGAAGACATAGTCTTAAAGGAAATGTGAAGTCCTAACGCCCAGGACTTGAGAAAGTATAGAGGCAAGAGTAAGATGTATGCAACATGGGTCATGCTCTGGGATCCTCTAAGTGTCACCAGCATGGGTGCCCTTATTAACAGTACCCTCTCCCTTGCTCTACAGTGACCCAACAGGAAAAGACCCCCCTGCCTCGGTCTAGCCTGCTGGAGGCAGGTGATGGCTGTGAAGAGCCAAAACAGCAGATGTCTTGGGAGCAGGAGTTCCTGGTGGGGAACAGCCCAGGAGGCAGCGGGCGGACTCTATGTATGGTGTGTGGGGCCGAGATCCGGTCTCCCTCAGCAGACACCGCTCGCGCACACATTCTGGAGGAGCATCCCCACACCCTGGACCTGAGCCCCTCAGAGAAGAGCAACATCCTGGAAGCCTGGAGTGAGGGGGTGGCTCTTTTGCAAGACAGCAATGCTGAACAGCCGTCTCCACCGGTTTCAGGTAGTGGAGTGGGGGCAGGGGCAGGCAGAGGAAGGAACAGGGCTGGTGGGAGCCCTGGCAGCTCAGCAGGCTTTTGCCCTCTCAGAGTCAGGCCGCGATGTTGAGCCAGACCCCAGCTCCAACCCAGACCCTGCTGGGACGCCAGCAGAGATCGTGGTCCTACTGGACTTGGAGGACAACCCATCCCTTCCTAAAAGGATCCGGCCCCGGGGACTCCGCCCCCTCGAGCTGCCTGGTCAGTCAACAAGGGTGTGTGTGGCGGGGGTGTGGACAGGGTGAAGCACAGGCTCTGTTCTGGGTTGCTGCTGGGAGGGTATCCTTGGGAATCCTTTGGGGGCCTCTTAAAGATGTAAGTTTTCTTTGCAGCTACCCCTGCCACAGAGCTAGGAAGTAAGAAGCCTCGTGGCCAGAGATGGAAAGAGCCCCTTGGGGAAGAGCCTGTCAGAAAGAAGAGAGGCAGGCCTATGACCAAAAATTTGGACCCTGATCCTGATCCTGACCCTGACCCAGGTGAGGGGAAGTCCAGGAGGCAGGGATAGGATGGTCACAGCACTGCAACAGGAAGCCCAGGTCTACAAGGTTAGAGTGGGGTAGGCTGAAGGTACCTGCAGCTCTCCTGAGGCTTGGGGCTCAGGTGTTTGGGTTCCAGCATCCTCTCTACTCACAGTTCCTTCCTGTCTTTTTCAGAACCCCTTTCGCCTGACTCACCCACAGAGACGTTTGCAGCACCAGCCGAGGTCCGACACTTCACTGATGGCAGCTTCCCCCCTGGCTTCGTCCTCCAGCTTTTCTCTCATACCCAGCTTAAGGGTGCAGACAGCAAGGACTTGCCTCAAGAGGGCAAAGCAGCAGCAGAAGGCCAGGCCCAGACAGAAAGCCCCTCTCCAGGTGAGCCATCCCCAGAGGGAACAGCCAGGAAGAAATCAGCCTGGCAGCATCCCTGGCTTTGGGCCTCCCAAAACTGTGCTGCTTCAGAGCCCAGGATACTGGTGGTTGGTGCTCAGGTCCCTAGAGACACAGGCTTATGGGAGGGGAATGGGGTGGGGGAGGCTGGCCAAAGAGCTGAATGTTTCTGAATGTCGTTTGGAGATTTCCTGGAGTTGGTTGTTACAATGGGGTAGGCCAGTGTCCCCATACCCAGCTCTACAGATAGATGGATTCTGGAGCCTGAGAGGTAGCACCTTTCCCCAGTGGAACAGGGACCCAAGTAGGGGTACTCAGCAATTCAAACAGGTGTTAAGGGAATAAACAGGTGATGAGCGGTGAACAGACACCTGCATGGGGACCCAGCTCAGTAAATTGCTAATAGTAGCAGGTAGGCAAGTGCTTATGTCTATGTCATATTCCACTGATTATAAGAAACTCATATGCAGCCAGGCGTGGCAGTGCCTCCTAGCACTCTGAGAGGCTGAAGCAGGAGGATCACAAGTTAAAACCCAGTCTGGGCAAATTCAGCAAGACCGTATCTCAAAAAAGGGTTGGGATAGGAATGTAACTCAGACCAAAAGTCCTAGGTTCAAACCTCAATGCCACAAAAAAAAAAAAGAGAGATCTATATATAGTTTATTTGATCCTTACAAAAATGTCTTTATAGCTTTGCATAATGACAGTATTATAGTCGATGAGGTTTATCCAAGGCGCGATTATTGCTAATTGAAAAATGCCTTTATAGTGAAAAGCCAAGTGTCCGTCTTTCCCCGATGGAGAAACTGAGTCTCCAAAAGATGATTCATTCTTTCTCATGTTCCTTGTACCAAAGGGTCCAGAAGGGATCTTCAAGCAAAACTCAGTGTTTTGGCAGGGCTGTGTTCTTTTTTGGGGGGTACCAGGAATCGAACTCAGGACCTCAAGCTTGCCAGGTAGGCGCTGTGCCACTGAGCTAAACGCCCAGCCCAAAGTCTGTTCTTTTCTAGGGGAAAATCTTTTCTCACCTTTCCTGGCTTGTAGAAGCTACCCACATTCCTTGGCTTATGGCCTCCTAACATCCTCAAGGTCACCAATGGCAGGAGAAGTTCTTGGCTCACCATCTTTGGTCCTGCCTCATCTACTTCCTTCTTCCCTGTTTTAAAGACCCTCTTGGTTATACAGGCTCACCCTAGTGATCCAGAATTATTTTTTTCCTTTTTCTTTTTCTTTTTCTTTTGAGGTGCTAGGGATTGAACCCAGGGCCTCACCATACTAGCGAAGCAGTTCTCCCACTGTTATCTCCAATCCTATCTCTTTATTCTTTGTCAGCAGATTAGCAACCTTAATTCTATCAGCAACCTTCGTTTCCCCCTTGCCATGGAATAAAACATTGCAAGGTTCTGGGGATTCAGACTTCTGAATGGACATCTCTGAGGGTCATCTTTCTGTACACACAATGCTGTACCCACAGGATTAAGGAAAGTAGAATAGGGGCTGGGGATTTAGCTCAGCGGCAAAGCGCCTGCCTGGCAAGCGCAAGGTCGTGAGTTCGGTTCCTGGTACCGGAGAAAAAAAACAAAACCAAAAAAAAAAAAAAAAGGAAAGTAGAATGCATTCCAGAGACTGAGTCTGCTTCCTGTCCTCTCCTGTCTTTGCCAAGCACAGCTCACATCATTTGGAGCTCAGGAAATACTTCCTGAAGGAGGGGATGGCCGCCCAGGGAGTGCATGTGTCTGTCCCAGCTTGTTGGAAATGCACAGGTGGAATAAGAGGCCAGTGAGATGGCTGACGAGGGCTGAAAGCTTCCCAGCATAGGGCTCTCCAAAAGGCAGTGAGCTTTTTGCATAGAGAAATAGAATGTTACCTATTCTGCAGTCCCACTCACAGCAGAGTCCACTCTTAATGATTTGTCCCCTTCAGTCTTTTCACAGAGCTCTGTGCATGTGTACACACGTGTACACATACATGTCCTTTTATTTACCATATCAGGCCCTACTTCTCTAAAGACAGGCCTTACCCCATCTTGTATAATAGTTTTAACTGTCTGTGTGAGTCGTGTTCCTGAGCTGCTGCTGAGTCCCCTTGCTCTCCTGGGTCTTCTATGGAGTTGGCCTTGCCACTGTTTAATAGGTCTTCTGATTTCATATGTGAGGGAAGCCTTCATTTTAATCCTGGGGTGGCTCAAGTCCACCTATTTGGGGTGTTGTATATGGAGGAGAATCTCTAAGGTTTTATGTTTATTTGGGATGAGTGGACAAGTGTGGTCTCAGTAGTATCAGGGTTTTTGAAGACTGGAGATGGCCAAGGATCACAGAGGACACTAATGCATGAATAAGGCAGCATTTGTCCCCAAGAAACTCTTACTTGTTGGGGGATGCCCATGGGGGTTCCAGGCTGGGAAGCTGAGGTAGGAGGATTGCAAATTCAAGTCTTACCTGGGGAAATTAGTATGGCCTTGTCTCAAAATAAGTGAAATGGCCTGGGGGATGTCACTCAAAGTGAAGACCCTGGGTTCAATCCCCAGTACCACCGGTAAACAGACAGCAACCACACATTGATCTAGGAGTTGGAAAAGGTCACTTGGCTCAGGTTAGCTGAGCTGGTGATTATGAATGTGTAATGGTAAAGCAATCTGGGAAAGCTTTCTGGAACTTCACAAGGTGAGCTTGAGGCCAGGAGAGGAAGAAGGCTGGAAGGACCCACTCTCAAGTCAAGGAAAAAAAGAGGCTGTTTGTCTGGCTAGTGTTTGGGTAGGACCTGGAGATCCAGTTAGGACACTTTGGCCAGACACAGGGTATTTCCAGGATGGACCTGGGAATAAGTGTAGTGAGAGGGCACCTGTGCATGTGAGTGTGAACCTTGCACAGTCTCTGTTTTTGTTCACCACTGGGTCCTCAGCACCTAGAACAGTACCTAGTACAAAGAAGGCACACCAAAAATTCATTAAAAAGTTGGGAAAGTGACTGATGGCTGACAAGTCCAAAGTCCTTGTTTATAGGTAACCTAGGAAAGGACCAAAGGCCAAGACCTCCACCCAACCTCTGAAACGGGAGCAGCTCTGGAATGTGTGAGCACAGATGCATGACTGCAGGGTAGCAGGAGTAAGGCTGGGAAGCAGAGGTAGTATAGGAAAGAAGGTGGGGCTATTCTGGGCCTCCCTACTCAGCTTGTTCCAGGGGTGGTAAGTCGCCCCAGCTTGCTTTTTTGTAGCCCTGGTGCTCTGATCTCTACCACATCTCAGACCTCACATTCCTTACCTCATCCACCCACACCTTCTACCCTCCTTGCTGCCTTGGCACTTAACCAACTGGGGGCTTGAGAAGCCAGCCTCTACTATGTACCAAACTTCCCTGATATTCTGTCTCATGAAAGTAAAATGCTTGTAAAGTATTAAGATTTCCATCTTGCAGAAGATGAAATAATTGTAGTGGTGCACACCTATAGTCTGAGCTATTTGAGAGGCAGTAGCAGGAGGATCACTTGAGCCCAGGAGTTCAAGGCCATCCTGGGCAACATAGCAGGACCCCAGCTCAAAAAAGCAAGTAGTTGGGGGATAGCTCAGTGGTAGAACCCTTGCCTAGCATCTGTGAAGCCCTGATGTCCCTGTCTGCCAGCACTACCACCACCCAAAAAAAAGGAAGTAGCCTCAGCCTCAGACAGGTTAGGTCTCTGTCACAGTCACTAAGTTGCCAGGCTGGGTTTAAATTTCCAATCGTCCTGCCTCAGCCTCCCAGGGTTTAAGGGTATATATACCACCATCCCTGGCTATGGAAGGTCTTTTGTATACTGTCTCTTACTTCTCTCCAAAATCCACTTGAGTCAAACTTCCACCCTCAGCACTCAACCAAAATTGAGTTTTTGCCAAAGTTGTCATTGACTTCCATAAAATTAAATCCATTAGTTACTTTATGCTCCTTCACTTTTTTGATCTGGTAGTAACAGTGGACCTGTCCCTCATTTTGTATCATATTGTTGTCTGTCTCCCCTTTTCTAGAATGTTAGTATCTTTGAGTCAGAATGTTTACTGTGATGTCCCTGGTAGGCAGCACAGTGCCTGGCAGAGAATAAGCACTATTATATACTGGTAGATCTCATCCAATTCACAGTTCTCAAAACCTTTTTTGAGGGGTATACAGGGAATCGAACTCAGGACCTTGTGCTTGCCAGGCAGGTGCTATGCCACTGAGCTATATCGCTGGCCATCAGTATCTTTTGTGTGGCTATGTATTGGCTTTCCCTCACTCTAGAACAAAGTATCTGATACCCACTACTCGAAGGAGAGATTTATTTGGCTCACAATTTCAGAGGGTTCAGTCCCTGGTTGGCTGGCTCCAAGCCAAAAACCTCATTCTCTTCAGCCCCACACTAGTCCATCCTCAGGTTCTCCAGAATAAGTTGAGGGTTCATCTCTTGCCACCACTCTCACTGCTTCTTGCATCCACCTTTTAAGTAGTCTCAGGTTTGCTCACTGTGCTGTGTTGTCATGCAGCTACCAGTGTCTCTGCTGAAAACACAAGTGAGATCCAATCACTCCCCTGCTCATAGCCTTCCAAATCACTCCTGTCCCACTTCAGATAAGATCTGGACTCCTAGGGACCAGTAGTCTTCCCCTCAAGACCCTTGAGTTCTCATCACACACCCCAACTCTTCACAGACAGCATTGACCTTGCTGTTCCCGCCCATCTGAAATGTCATTCCATACTTGCTTCTTCGACAACTCGTTTCCCTTGCATCTCTACCCACTGTGTCCTTGCTCTTACCAGCATCTTCCCCTGGTTTTTTTTTTTTTTGACATTGCAACTGGCCTTATAGAACATACTACATCTTCTGTTTGGTGGTGGTTTTTTTTGGCAGTCACCACTAAGATGTAAACTCCAAGAAGGCAGCACACTCAGCCCCACTCCCTGCTGTAACCCTAGCAGTGTGGAGCAGCAGTGAGCACATCGTAGTTGTCAGTGAATTCTGTGTTGAATTCATGAATAGAGTGGAATTCAGTCTTCCCTTAAGGAGTTACAGTTTATGAGATAGTCAGACCACCTCACCTGAACAAAACACATAAGTTACTAAATTGTACAACATAGTGGTGGCCACTGGGTCATTTTAAACTCCAACAAACTACTGCAAAGTAGAACTCATCTTTTCTGCCACCTTTTAAGTAATTCTGTCTCTTTTTTTTGGTACCGGGAATCGAACTCATGATCTCAGGCACTTACGCCACTGAGTTATATCCCCAGCCCTAAATAATTTTGTCTGTTAAAGACTAGAAAAGGCAACTTTTCTTTCATACATGTTGGCCTACAGGATGTACTTCTTTTCCTACTTTTATTTGGCCCAAACTCACATGCAGAGTCTCTTTCTTTTCTGACCTTTAATAGAACTTTGCTACTGTTAAATAAAAAAAACAGTTCTTTCCATACAGATAGTATTTGCCTTCACCATCTTCCACCTTTGCTTTGTAACACAATGTGACTTTTCCATGGGCCCATGTCAGGGGACATTTTTGAGGCTGCCCAGTGACCCTGAACACCTTTCCCTGTCTGGCAGCCTGGCTTTGCCATGATGAGCAGCCTCCCCATACCGCTAAGGTGGCGCTGGACCCTTGTGATATAGGTAGTGACTCTGCAGGAGATAGAATGTGGTCAGAGTCACAGAGCAGAGCTGGAACGCTAACGCATCCTTCTGTTCAGCACTCCGCTCTGTTCTGCAAATTCTCTCATGTACTGTGTGGTGGCAAAACTATGTCATAGACTGGTTCATGCAGGCACAGCCCCTTAGGCCAGGCTGCCCAGTGAGTTGTATGTGAAATCGAGCTGCTGAAGGCAAGAGCTGGGACAAGGTGGCTGCAGCGCTGAGTGTGTCCCCTTCCTAGGGCTGGGGAAGAAGGCTTCACAGTGACTTGTGCCAGTGCCTACAAGGCTTGTGAAGCTGGCATCTTTCCATCTGAAGCAGGCACTGGGCTGTGGAGAGCAAGAAGGATGTAGAAGTATAGGGTGTGGTTTGCAGAGCTTTCAAAATGCCCTTAGACTCTGGAGGGCCCTAACTCCGCTCTTTGCTCCCACTCCTGCCCAGCTCCCCCTTCGGGGCTCCGCGGGACACTGGATCTCCAGGTTATCCGCGTGCGGATGGAGGAGCCCCCAGCGGTCAGCCTCTTGCAAGAGTGGTCCAAGCACCCCCAGGGCATCAAGGGAGTGGGTGCAGGTGACACGCCGAAGTGGCCAGCAGTTCTGTCAGAATCCAGCACCACCCTAGGGGGACAGCCGGAGGCAGGCAGTGGGCTATAAGTTCTTGCTTTCCTGGGGAGGGAGGGGTGGGCAGGAGAGAGGAGGCAGCATCCCCCTTTGGCTTGTAACTCGGAGCTGCTGGCTTGGCCACCCGACAGTGACAGTTTGAAAACCTATGTCAAGGCAGGGTAGAGGGGTGGGGTACTGGAGAATGTCTGTCCGACCAGACCTGAGGTAGGCTGGTGGCTGAGGCTACGTGGTAGGGCATTGAGCCTGTGGAGAACACCTACCCCAATCCTTGGCTGACCCAGACCTCTTTGTCCCCCACACCTCCCACCCTCTGAGCTCCCCACCATTCTCCCCTGGCACAGTGCCTTACAGAGGTGGTCATGACGGGGTCTGAATTGAGTCCCACTACCTCGGGGGACACCTCTCCTCCCCCACTTGTTCAGGCTTCTACACCAGAAGCCTCCATTACCTCTTCCCACTCCATCCCTGCCGAGGGCTCCATTCACCTCCATGCTCCCTTTCACCTGTTTTCCTGTTGTATATATTACCTTTGTTGACAATAAATTATTTTTTTTTATTAAGAGAGTTCCGTGTGGCCATCATTGGGGGAAAGGGCCTCCTAGAGCCAGCTTGGGGACAGGAGGGTTGCAGGGTAAGTCTGGGTGGGAGCGGACGCAGCCTGTCTCAGAGGGTGCAGTATCGATCACCAGGGCAGGACATACGAGGCCAGCCTGGGTGTCAGTCACATAGGGGCCCCTTGTCCTCTCTCCTCATCCTCACCCCAGAAGTGGGGTCAGAACAAGCATTAAATCTTACACCTTCTGCTAGGACCTCTGTCCAAACCAGGCCTCCTCACACCTCAGGAGCTGAGCACTGTTGGGCCCTTTATAAAGTGAGATGATCCTTTCCCGCCCCACAAAGCCAAAGTGGCACATGGATTGTAAATAGTATTTCCTTCTTCAGTCTTACGGTCTTCCCAGCAAACCTTCCTTCCACCCTGTCCTTGGCTTAATTCTACCCAGACCCTGGCCTGATTCCTGCCACTGCCCAGATCCCGAGAGAGCCTACTTCACATCTTTGTGTGGGATTCCATATGCCCTGAACTAACCCGCCACTGGCCAAAGCGCGCAGTCTTTTTTCTCTAAGACCATGTCTCCACTGTCTTGAGCACCTGTGTGCAGGTCCAGTAAGTAGGAGCAAGAACCTACCGCTCCTAAGAAGTAGGTGCACTCAGAGATGGGGGCCAGGCTGGAAGGACGGCCGTTCCACAGAACACTGGCCTGAGCAGTTATACCAGCCAGGGAGGGTCCAGGTGAGCAGGGTATACCGTGTTCTGACATGAGCTGGTGTCACTGGCAGCTAGGTGTTGGGACCTCACAGCTGGGCAGGTTCTTGGGCACAGTCCTTTGACCTCATTTGACCTAAGATTAGGCTCCTAAGAAGGAGCCTAAGATTGGGGATGGAAGGCTGGAGAAAAGGTAGTGTTCAGGGCCTGCAGATACTCTGCCTGGGGGGACTTAGCCCGGGGCCCAGGGAACTTCAGGTCCACCACTGTCCTGTGGATGGGCAAAGTTCATGTACTCCCTAATCAGAGGAGATAAATAATGCTGAAAACTCCAGTACTAGTGATTACAGATGATTTGTGTCATCCTCTCAGTGATGTGATTGTGTTTACATTTATACCAACGTGCTTTTAAGACAACATGGCTGTGTCACTGGGTGTTTACACTTGAGAAAACATACTTAAAAGCTTGTAAAATTGTGATGCCAAATGCACATTTGCTGCTATTCTGATTCATGGCTTGGCCTAGACTGTGAGCTCCTCCCGGGCAGGGGCCAGGCAACATTGACGTTTCCTAATGTCCTGTGTAGGGCCTGGCACATAGTAGGTGCTCAATAAATGTTATCATGTACCAGGTTGGTGTGTATTTCTGTGTGACATTTTTCTTGTGAAAGTTGGTGCCTGGAGTATGGTTCCTTACATGGGAGTTTGCCATGGTGATGGCAGCAGGTAGGTGATTCCCTGATTGCAGCCCCACATCCTGACCAGCTGGCATCTGCCCAGCTTTGGCCAGTATACTGGGGACTATGTGTGCCCAGGAGCTGACCATGAGCACCTCTGGGCTCCCAGGGAGAAATGGAGAGGGACTAAGGACATGACTCCAGCCCAGAATGTGGGAGGACAACTGGATGGAAGTGACAGGTTGCCTGGAACCCCCTTGCTTTTCACCTTGGCTTGGTGGAATCCCTCCAACCCCAGCCCTGCCATCCTGGCACATACTAGAAGGGCCTATCCAAATATCAGTGGTGTCCAGGACCGGTGGTAGCGCTCTGCACCAAGTGTAGTGCTGAGGCCCGGCCAGGCTGGGGGTGGGATTTCTGGAGACCTGAACAGAAAGCTTTATTCAACACCAAATTAAGGAAGGAGTGTTTCCCCACTGAACAGCAAAGTGTCCAACAGTTCAGTTCTGACAGTAAATATCAGGAGTTAGTGCAGATCCCACCAGTAGGGCGCATTTACTCAGACAGTAATTGCAAATCCAAGCTGTCACACCTGTACTTAGACCCAGCCAACTGGAAGTTGGAGGTTCCTACCATGTCCTCTTGGCATTGTAATTTTCTATAATGATTTACAAAAGGCAGGGAAACGTTTCCTTAGTTTTACTGGCCTATCACCAAGTGTATTACAATGGATACAGGGGCTGGGGATTTAGCTCAGCGGCACAGTGCCTGCCTGGCAAGCATGACGTCATGAGTTCGATTCCTGGTACCGCAAAAAAAAAAACAAAATGCAACAAAAAAAACAACCACAACAACAACAAAACAACGGATACAGATGAACAGCCAGATAACTTTCCATATAGTTAACTGGTATGGAAAGGGCCCGCACCGAGGACCAGAGTGTATCCTAGGGAATTTGGGCTGTGCTGCCTTCCGGCCATATGGATTCTTTCCCTGACCTGGTGCTCTCTGACCCCCATAGCTGAATGGTTTTATGAAGGTTTCAGTAGGCCCCTCTCCCCTCTCCAGTCAGAGCTGAGTCTGAAAGCACAAACCTTCCCAGTCACTGTTGGCTCCTCTTGACTGCTGACCAGCAGCCTCCAAGAACTACTTCTTTGACATGAACACAAGTATGGGAGTGGAAAGGGTCATATTATAAATAGCAAAAGATGTTCTTTCTTTTACAGTGTGTGCCACCATGCCCAGCTGAAGATGCTCTTGGCTGATACACTAATTCCCAGTTTTAGAAGCTCTTGTCCCAGGAACCAAGGATGGGGACCAAACAGAATATATTTCTTATTATATCACAGTATTATTTCCATACTAGATTTGGGGGTTGTTTTGAGACAAAATGTGCCACCATGCCTGGTCTATATCACAGTAGCATTAACCATAGCTTTTCATCTGTGGGCAAAGCCAGGAGACAAGGAAGAAGCACAGTTGGGTGTAATGCCTATAATCCCAACACTAGGAGGCTGAAGCAGGAGGATCACAACTTTGAGCCCAGCCTGAACAATTTAGACACTGCCTCAAAATAATAAAAATTTTAAAAAATTTTAGAAATCAGGTATGGTGGCACATGTTTATAATCCCAGCACTTGGGAGGCTGACGCAGGAGGATCACCATGAGTTTGAGACCAACCTAAATTACCTACTGAGACCCTGTCTCAAAAAGCCAAAAAAAAAAAAAAAAATGCTGGGGATACAGCTCATTTGCAAAATTCTATACCCAGTATCGGGGCAGTCCTAGTATGAGAATAAAAAGGAGAGGGAGGGAGGAGGGAGAGGGCAGAGAAAAGTGTAGGAGTGGGGCTGGGGGAAGAAGTGGGATCCTTTGCAGCACCCCAGGGTATGAGTTGGATCCTGGATCTGCAGCTCCTGAACTGATCCATCCTGAGTACTTTCTACTCCTTTGGGAGTTGTCCTCAGAAGAGTTAGTTTTGCTTCCCCTCCCTTTGCCTGGCGTTCTAAATTCTTAAGGAAAGCCACACCTAAATGATTAAGATGTTAACTGAAGCCTAATTTACAAAAGCCTATAATCCCAGCTACTTGGGAGGCTGAAGCAGGAGAATTGCAAATTCCAGGCCAGCCTGGGCAATTTAATGAGATTCTGTCTCAAAATAATTTTTTTTTTCTTTTGTCTTTTTGAGACAGGGTCTCACTATGCAGTTCAGGCTGGCCTTGAGCTCACTTTGTAGCCCAGGCTGGCCTCAAACTTGCAGTGATCCACCTGCCTCAGCCTCCTGAGTGCTGGGATTACAGGCATGAGCCACCAAGCCTGGCTCAAAATAAAAAATTTTAAAAGGGCTCCCTGGTGCAGAAAAAAAAAAAAAAGTTAACTACCAAATAATATTTCTTTAGATTTGCAGAACCCAGAACATCTGGTACACTTCAGATAACATCAGAATGTGTAAGGCCCCTCCTTAGTCTTTAATTCTGTCAGCTAATACAAAATATACAAATTGATATGATGCTTAATTTGCAGAAAGGTAATTTTGTAACTATTCCCAGGAGATCAAGGTCAATTGCATTGTTTTCTAAAGGGGAAGAAAGACCCCCAAAACAAAGCCACACTGCTTGGGCTGAGGATTTAGTACAGTGGCATTGCACCCACCTGGCAAGCACAAGGTCCTGAGTTCAATTTCTAGTACTCTACCAAAAAAATAAAATACTCATCCACCACTGAGCATCAATTCCCTCTCTACAAAAGCCCTTTCAGATAACTGAGCTCTCTAAGATGCATTTTGGGGGAAGATAGTTTCTCCCATCTTGGCACCCTGGAATTAACCTGATTTCCTTCACAGCAACTCTCATCTTCTAAGCATTAGACTTTCAAGTGGCAAGCAGATAGACTCAGGTCCAGTAACAGTCCTTCTGTGTGAATGCAGTGGTCACGCACAAGTACTGCACACATACACACATCATGCACATACCACGATGCGTATACCCCACACATACATAGCTGGCCTCAAATGAGGTTCAGTGCATTTGGGACCCTTTATACACTGTAAAGTCACAGCTGTCTTCAAGGTGTATAGGAGGATAAGAGGATGGGACAGAAGAGGATCTCAATGGGTTGCTGCCTCTTGGTCCTCTTCACTCCAACTGGAGTCTTAGAACAAGGCACATACTGATCTCCCAGGGACCACAGAAGAGGGGAAGGGTTACCGTGGCTCTGAGCAGCCCATGTGTGCTTTACCACCTCTTGGGACCAGGTGCCTCAGCCCAGAGTCTCCCCACTGTCAAATCTCCCCTAAAGAGCATCCTCTCATTCTGTGCACAAGTGTGTCAGCCAAAGAAGACAAGCAACATCAGTGGCTTGCATGTCTACGAGGCAGAGGAGGCAGGAGCAGCAGACGATGAGGTGTCTACCCTACAAGGCTCAGATTCCACAAATATCGGTGAAGGGTCCTAGAGGCAAGCTCTGTGCTAGGAACTATGGGACACATACAAGACACCTACCCTTTTGGATTTGGCTGCTTATGTCTCCAAGGCCTTGCTTAGCATGTTCATCCATCTAGAGAGGTATATTAGTTGCTTTCTTATCATTAGGACAAAATACCCAACCCCCACAACTTCACAGA